CCCAAGAGACCCACAGAGCCATCAGCTGACCTTCGGACAGGGCTTGGATCTTGAATGTCTCCCAAAGCTGCCTCAGCTGGGGGCGTGGTCACCAGCCTGGGGTGTTCCTGGGGGGACACTTAGTAGGGGGGGTCTGGTGGGAGAAGCTAGGTCCCTGGAGGCAGCCCTCGAAGGAGAGTTTAGTCCCTGGCCCTTCCTCTCCGCTCTTTCACTCCCTGGCCCCCGGGCGAGCAGTTTCCACCATGCGCTCCCGTGGTGTGCCCCTCACCACAGGCCCAAAGCATGGAGGCCGAGCAGCCACGACTGGGGCCTTGGAAACCGTCCTCCTCCTGTTCATCTCAGGCATGGTGAGAGGACGGACATGGGACTAGCACACCCCTGGCTGGTGGGCGACACTGAGTGGCTGTGTGAAGTCGGTGAGCCCAGGCGGTTGTTACACAGCACTGTGGCAGCGCTGACAGCTACAAACCCCTTGCCCGCAGGTTCCCGGAAGCCACCAGCTTACAGTTCAGAGAATCATCCTCACAGCGCGGTTTTACTCCAGCCTCACAATGGAGAATCAGAAGCAGGACGTGTTGGCCACAGTTCCACGTTCATTTAATGCCTGATTACTATCTCGGATGGCAAGTTCACAAACACACACTGGGACACAGACGCACGGGCTGGGGGGACATATCCAACAAGAGAGGTGTCTCCTGGCCACCCTCAGGGGACACGGAGGCGGGACAGGCATGGTGAGGCCTGGGGTGCCCCCGCCCTGGCACACTGCCTGGAGAGGGGGCTGCCCTGCCCGCTTGCCTCCGTGGGGCCCGGGGCGCGCTCCCCGGGGGCCTCTGGGGGGTTGAAGACCTTCTCATGGTACTCGATGAGCAGCTCAGTGAAGAGGTTCAGGGGCACCAGGGCGCTCAGCGAGGACAAGCCCTGGGACGGCCAGATGAGGTTCAGCCCGAAGACGCAGGCCAGGTTGGAGCTGTTCATCTTGTTATAGAGGCTCTCCCGGGACACCTGGCGAGACACGAGGGGTGGGGCCCCAGCAGAGGCTCAGCCAGAGTCTGGCTTTGTCTGAAAAGCGAGGGTCTTTGCTGATGGCATTAAGCCGAGCCTGTCAAGGTGACATCACCCGGGACTGCCCAGGCGGCCCCAACCCAAGGATGAGCGTCCTTCAGAGAGGAAGGCAGGGGTGGTGATGAGACCCGGGGACAGAGGAGAGGACAGGCGAAGGTGGGGACCGGGCTGGGCCGGGCGGCCACCCGAGTGGCCAGGAGCCGGAAGGTGCAGGAGGGCCCCTCCCTGGATTCTGTGGCGGTAGGACCCTCCCTGGACTCTGTGGTGGGAGGGCAGCTCTGCCCGCACCTCCCTCTCTGGCCTCGGCCCCAGCTGGTCCCCTCTGGGACGTGGCCTGTGGGCCCAAAGTGCAGGGTGCCTGGTTCCCTCGCAGGAATCACCTGCCATTGGCTCGGGGCCTACTGTGTGCCAGCCTCAGGGCCTACTGTGTGCCAGGCCTCCCCAGCCCAGACTCAGCCCAAGCCGAGGCACAAGAGCAAAGGAGCCTGAGAAGGAGGTGGCCAGCAGGAGCGGACGGCCAGCCCAGGTGCAGGGCGGGAGGCCGTGGTTGGCCCTCCTGGCCACAGGGAGGTTTCCCCGCAGCCCTCACCTGGCCAGGCTGTGGACGAAGGCCTTGGCCACCTGAAGCAGTGTTCTGAGGACGTGTCCCAGGTCAGGCAGGCAGGGCCCGGCCTGGCGTGGGGGAGAGGCGCCGGCCAGGCGCGGGCTGGGCCGCTCACCTCGTGCAGGAAGCCCATGAGGTAGCGCAGCACAGCGTGGTTGTGCTCGGGGAGGCTCTGCAGGATCTGGCGGCAGTGGGTGACGCGGAGGCTGCTCTCCACACCTGCAACAGCACCACCTCGCTGTCCTGGGGCCCGCACGCTCGCCTGCCCAAGGGGCCGGTGTGGCCTGGGCAGCTCTGGACGCCGACTGTGCTCGGGCCTGGACACCACGCATACTTCCCGGAGGGGGTGCGCTCAGCACAGGCCATCCCCCCTCCTGGTCCTGGGGGGCTGGAGGCCGAGTCCGTGGAATAGGAGTGGTCTAGGCCAGGGGTCGGCCGCTGTCCCACCTCCGGGACCCCCGTCTGCCCCACCCCTCCCCCTACACTCCTGCTCAGTGACCTCAACCCCAACCGCCATCAGTAGGTGTCACCAGGCTCCCCATGGGCACCTGCCACACACTCCTCAGCCTTTGGTACCATCTTGGTTCTCAACAACCACAGCTTCGGAACTTGTGGAATCTCCTTGTAAAATGACCAGTGAGCAAAACACGATTGGAAACAGGTCTGATGCCGCTTGGTGGGGCCAAATGGACATAGCAATTATCACAAGGAATGGTGCCTGTGGAGCGCTAAGGAGCCATCAAAAAGGACACGGGGCTACAGTGTGCACAGGAGGAGGACAGCACTAAGGGGAGCTCTGAGGAGGGACAGGTGAGGTCGTGGGGGAGAATGTGTGTGCGTGAGATAGAGAGAAGGGGAGAGGGAGGGAGGGAGACGGAGAGGACAGAAGGAGGGGGGGCAGGGTGAGACCCTTGGAAAGAGGAGCAGCCCCGCGTTGCCGTGGCCATCCTGGCGTGGACAGGGCATGGGGCTGCGCCGTGGCCTCCTGGGCGGTGGCTCCCACCGTGTGCTTGTGCCGTTCCATCAGGGTTAGGGTCTATGCTCCCGCGGCCCCCCTCCAGCCAGCCCTGGTGTAGAAGGCAGAGCTCAGCCCCGGGGCTAGGGCTTGCTGTCCCGACTCTGCAGGTGGCCTCTCCTCCGCATCACAGCCCTGCAGGCCCGGCTGCTGGTGGACAGGGACAGGTAACCGCGCCGTGGGCACCGGCAGACTGGCCCTCGAGGCCCAGCCTGGCCCCGGCCTCCACCAGGCACCAGAGCCCGGCCACTCTGAGCAGCTGTGGGAGGGCCACCTCCCGTCTGAGAGAGGAGCCGGGAGAGACCCTGAGGAAAGGGGAAAATGTGGCGCTCTGGGAGCTTGGGGTGCTGTGCCCTCAGGGGTGGCCCTGTGACTAGACCCAGTCTCCAGCTGCCTGCCCTCAGGAGCTGGGCCGCAGCCCACGGCTGAAAGCCCAACCCTGCAACCACGCGCTGGCCTTTCCGGAATGCCCAGCCCCACCCTGGGTCACCCCAAAGCGTAGAGGTCACTCCCAGGACCAGGGCCCGAAGCACTGATTCAGGGGAAGGGACACCTCGCCACGCTGTCTACAGTCAGCTCCAAACCTGGCCCTCTGCACCCCGGGGCTCCCAGAGGAAGAAAGAGATGGCACTGGATGGCAAAGACCCGGGGCTGGTGGTCCTTCCCAGGTGCTGCCCTCCTGGGCAAGCCTGGCGTTCCTGAGCCCGCCGTGGAGCCCCGGGCACCTGCCCGAGCTGCGGCGGGTCCCAGAGCGCTACGGGATCTCGCACTAACACGGGGAGGGACCCGGGGACCCCGCTCCAGAGGGGAGAGCTGAGGGGCAGGGACTCCTGGGGGTCAGCATGGGGTGGGCAGAGCGGGGCCTGACCAGGACAATACGCCCAAATCCAGAGATGTCTTCTGCCGCCTGTGGCAGGCTGCCCCCCGAGGCACTGCCCCACGTGGCAGTGTGGCCTGGCTGAGGTCAGTGGGGGCAGACCTCACTGCGTGGTAGGGAGCCCCACAGGTCCCTTCTGCGCCAGATGGCCACAGGGTGAGGCTAGCCGGTGCCACCCCAGCCGTGCCAGGGCCTGACCTGGTGGTAGGTGGCCCCCGAGGACCCGCAGCCCCTGCCAGACGTACTGGTGATCCCGAGGATCTGCTCGTAGGCCGCGAAGGTCAGCAGCGGCTGGGGCAGCTCCCGCAGGAAGGTCTTCAGGACCACAGCAGGGACGTGGATGTCCCCATAGTCATCGAAGTTCACGGGCTTCCCTGCAGGACGCGTGGCACAGTGAGCTCCTCCTGCCGCCTAGAGATGGCACCTAGAGATGGCGGCTGTGACATGGTGTGACCCAGGGCAAGATGGTGGCCACAGGCCTGGGGACAGCTCGGTCCCCCTCGCCGCCGGAGGCGGGTGCTCTTCCCACCAGCTCTGGGGCGGCTGGGCCTGGGGGACTGTCTTCCTGGGGGGCCGTCTTCCTGGGGGACTGTCTTCCTGGGGGGGCAATCTTCCTTGGGGGGCTGGGCCTGGGAGCCTGTCTTCCTGGGGGGGGCTGCCTGGGGGGGCTGTCTGCCTGGGGGGCTGGGCCTGGGGGGCCCTCTACCTGGGGGGCTGTCTTCCTTGGGGGTCTGGGCCAAGGGGGGCTGACTTCCTGGGGGGCTGGGCCTGGGGGCTGTCTTCCTGGGGGGCTGGACCTGGGGGGGCTGTCTTCCTGGGGGGGAATGGGGGGCTGTCTTCCTGAGGGGGCTGTCTTCCTGGGGGGGCCTGTCTTCCTGGGGGGCTGTCTTCCTGGGGGGGCATGGGGGGCTGTTTTCCTAAGGGGGCTGTCTTCCTGGGGGGGACCTGTCTTCCTGGGGGGGCTGTCTTCCTGGGGGGGACCTGTCTTCCTGGGGGGGCTGTCTTCCTGGGGCGAGGTTTTGCCCCTGGCTAGGACGCAGCTCCCTGGGGTCAGGGCCCTGGCCCTCAGATGTCAATGCCCAGCTGGGTGACACAGCAGCACACAGGCTGGACAGGAAGACTGGTGCCCAAGCTCCGCACCGTGGGCCTGGTGCTCATGAGCGCGTGTGGGCTGGACATGGGGAGTCAGCGGGACAGAGGGCAGGTGTCCCGCAGGGCTGGGCTGGCTGGGGGGCTGCTATTGCAGACCCCAGAGAATATCCCCTGCCCCTCGGATGTCCGTTGAGCCTGCGTCCACCCGGCCTGAGTGGAGAAGCCCCAAGGCCAGACGGTGGGTCTGCCCAGGGCCCCACACTGGCTGCTCCTGGCCCTGGGCTCTCGCTGGGGCCCGCTGGGGCCTGGCTCTGGGGCTCAGGGCTGTGGGCGGGTGGGGCACTCACCTTGGTCATAGAGCCTCTGGACCTGGCGGACGGTCTGGGCACTGGCCGACCTCCGGAACAGGCCCTCGGTGCGCAGTCCTGCAGGGAGAAGAGCCAGGACCTGGGTTTCTGGACGTTTCTGTGACCCCGCCTCCCATGGCCTTGCCTGCCTGTGCCTGGCAGGGGATGCTCCAGCCCACTAACCCTCCTGTGATTTCACTTATCCCTCTTAAGTGTTTTCAATATCCCAAGCTCCCACTTTTCTCCCTCTATGGCCCTGGCAAGGGACAGAAAGGGACAGATGCTGAAGTCAGACAGACCTAGGTTCCCATCCAGCTCTGCCTCCTACCAGCTGTGTGACCCTGGAGAATGCGCTCAGTCTCTCTGAGCCTCAACAGACCTGTTGGCCAGTAGGGCAAGGCCACAAGGTCCTGCCCCCAGGGCTGCAGAGAGGACCAGTCATGCCTGGCATGTGCCTGGCTCCTGGGAGTCCTGGAACAAGCAGCTTCCCCTGAGGTCCAGGCCCTAGCTGCCCACAGTGATCGAAGTGTGAATTCATCAGTTAAAACTGAACAGAATAAAAAGCCCAGTCGCTCAATTGCACGAGCTACATATGAAGTGACCCCTCAGGCCACTGCTGCTGGAGCCACGCGGGACGCTGCAGACACACAACACTTCCGAGAGCTCCCGGCCAGTGCAGATGGGGTGGACAGACGGCCACGGGCTCCACGGAACCAGGGGGTCCTGAAACTAGCGACAAGGTCGGGGGGTGGGCCTCCTGCCACCGACATCACCAGCCGGGTGACGGGGCCCCGCCCCACCTGCCACTGGGAAGCCTTCCCAGCAGGGGACACAGCACCCAGAAGGCGCCCGGCAGCAGCTGAGAGCCACGCCTGACTCCCCACCACCCCACCTTCATGCTGCGGGCGCGGCCTCGGCACCCCTCGTGGGGCAGCACCCCTCCCCCAGTGGGCGGCCATCCCGTCCCTCCTCCCGAGCTCAGGTCAGCTGCCACCTTGTGGACACCCGGGCTCCTCCCCCAGGTGCTCGGGGACTGCACACGCATCAGGCGGTCCCAGTGCAGGTGGGAGGCGGGCAGCCAGGGTCATGGGTGTCAGGGACACGGACAGTTCTGCCTGGGAGGGGCAGGTGACACAGGCCCCGAGGCTGGACCTTACGTCAACAGGCAGAGAAAGCAAGGAGGTGGGCTGGCTGGGGTGCAGGCGGGAAGGCCCACTGCCCACTGTCACACGGAGGGCCACGCCAGGGCTCGGGCACGGCGGTGTCACCACAGCTGCCCGTCTGTCCCCCCAGTGCAGGCCCCAGGACCTGGCGTGCAGCCAGGACGGACTCTCAGGCACCTCATGTGGGAGCAGGTTCTCCAGAGACGGCCAAGCTGGCCTGCGGAGAGGGGACCCACGCTGCATGGCCAGGAGGGCAGAGGGCCAGGGGCTCGTGCTGCGTCCAGCCGTGTGGGCACCACCGTTGGGTGAACCCATGAAATGCAGAGCCCAGGACAAGGCCTCGGGTCAATCGCGTTCTGTGTGGGACTGGTCCTGCTGGGGCTCCCGCGGGTCACGGCTGAAGTGACACTGGAGGCAGGAGGAGGTGACGGGGCAGGTGGTGGGGCCCACCCGTGGCTGGAGAGGTCACGCCGACCCCATTTGCGCTGCTCTGGCTTCAGGGACTCTTCCCCTAGGTGGAGGGGCCACCTGGAAGGAAAGCTGGTGGCCTCAGCAGCTGGGCAGGCCCCTGGCGGGCGGCCAGCAAGGCCGCAGCCACCTTAGCCTGTGAAAGTTGGCCAGAGGGAAACCGAGTGGCTCATGTCCACTTGAGCAAAGCAGCCAATGAAGTCCCGAGGCTGTGAAAGGGGGGCTCTCACATGCGCCAGGCAGCACAGGACAGCCAGGCCACCAGACCAGTGGCCATGTGACACTAAAAGCTCTGCTGCAAGGACACCACTGTGGTCCACCCTTGGGGCCGAGGACCACTGCTTCGGAATGCCTGATGTGTACGCCTGGGTTTCACCTGGGAACGTCTCCTCGGCCGGCCTCCTTGGGGTGCCCCTTGCTCACCAGGGCGGTTCCCATCACAGCCACTGCTGACCTGAGTCACAGCCCGTGTGCAGGCAGCTCTGGCCACTTATGCACACGGCACCACAGCACAGGACCGGAGACCTGGAAGCCACGTGTACGGGCTTCCCCCAGACTCCAGGGGGCGCTCAGCCAGAGCCCCGAGCGCAGCCCGAGGCCCCCACAGGCCCCCTGGCCCAGAGCTCTGCTCTCCAGACCCTGGAGGATCAGCGGAGCTGTTCTAAGTCACTGTGTCTGTGGCCACCTGTCCTGCAGCATGGGGACCGGCATGGTGACCCCTCCACTGAGGGGCAGGGCCTGGGTCTCCAGGCGACTGTGGCCAGCTTCATTCTGTGCTGGCGACACAGTGGTTGTCCCAGGGCAGCAGTGCAGAGCAAGGCACAGTGCAGACTCTCAGGACCCACAGTCCCCAAAAGGCAGGGCCCATATGTGGTCACCAGGGCCACCGGGGCCTCGAAGAGGGGACCTGGGAGGCCACGCCCACCCAACACAGGTGAGTTCCTGCCTGGGCTGCTTCTAATAGTAAAGGAATTGAACTGCTAACGAGGGAGGGAGGGAAGGAGGGAGGGAGGGGGAGGGAGGAAGGGGGAGGGAGGAAGGGGGAGGGAGGAAGGGGGAGGGAGGAGGGAGGGAGGAAGGGGGAGGGAGGAAGGGGGAGGGAGGAGGGAGGGAGGAAGGGGGAGGGAGGGAAGGAGGGAGGAAGGGGGAGGGAGGAAGGGGAGGGAGGAGGGAGGGAGGAAGAGGGGAGGGAAGGAGGGAGGGAGGAAGGGGGGAGGGAGGAAGGGGGGAGGGAGGGAGGGAGCAGGGAGGCCCTCTCAGTCTGTGTCCAAAGTGCACACTGACCACCCCTGGTCAGCGAGACAGAGGCCACCTGAAAGTAGAGCCAGCCCCTGATGGCGGTCAGAGCCCCTGCTCGTGGACCTTTTGTGACAAGGACACGCCACCCCGGGCGTCACAACCTACAGACCCTGCAGCTGTGTTGCCATTTCCAGCCAGAGGCCACCCTGCGCTGCGTGGATCCCGGCTGCCGACCGTGGGCCCTGCCTGTGTCCTGCACCTTCCCCGGGGACCTGAGACCTGGCCTTAGCAACCCCGGGGGGGCCACCAGGCTCTCCAGGTCCAGGTCCAGGTCCTGGCCACACCCACCCTGTCAAGGGCGCCTGCAAACAAGGAGTCCACGCAGCCCTGGCTGGGGCGGGCCAGTGCTGGACAGCCTCACACGCATCTTCTCAGCCAAGCTTCACTGTGGGCTCTTGAGGCAGGACCTATTAACCCCATGGACAGGCGAGGGTACTGAGGCCCAGAGATGGTGAGCCACTGGCTTAGGGTCACACAGCTAACACAGGGGAGTGGGGACTGGAAGCCAGCCTGTCAGGCCACGCCAGGAGCCCCTGTGCCGGTGCCTTTCTGTTCCCGGCCACCCCCTGCTTGGTTCCAGCTCCTCCAGCCGCTGGCCTGTGGGATGCTCAGGATGGACACTGACCCCCTGGGTGGGGACCAGCTGCTCGCGTGCCCTGGCTGGACGCTGGCTCTCACCTTTCTCCCGCAGGTAGGTCACCGTGAGCCACAGCACCGGGGGGATGAGCGCTCCTTGATTCTTGTCTCTGAGGCTGAGGAGGGAACAGGGGCAGCAGTTCACACGGAGCCCAGCAGGCGACATGGGGGACCAGGCTCTGGCCTCCCCGCCCAGCACTTCCAGTTCCCCAGGGCACTGAGGAGCCCTGGGGCAGAGGAGCTCCGCCCCAGGGGTCAGGCAGGGGAGAAAGAGGGACCAAACCAACGAGGGGTCAGGGTCCCGTCCCTGCACGCGGTCGGGAAGACGGGTGTGGTCGGCTCAGGCGGGCCCTGCCCTTGGAGCTGGGTCACTGTGGCCGGACCCCTGTCCTCCTGCCCTGCCCCTCCGGGGAGCGGAGACCAGGCCCAGCCCTGCAGGTCTGCGAGCGAAGCCCAGGGAGCTGAGCCGCTCCCCCGGGGGACAGGGCGGCCGTCTCACAGGTGCAAAGTGGGCCCAGAAAGCGGCAGTGACGTGCCCAGGGCCACCGGCTCCGGGGCCAGCTCTGCAGATGGCACTGCTCCAGGGGTCCCCGTGAGGCCAATGGAGTGGACAGGGATGGGGCAGGGGAAGCAGGTCCAAGCCCAGAGCGGGTCCCCAGTCGGCCCAGGGCACAAGGTCCCCGCCAGTCTCGCTGTCCCCGCCCACCCGCCCGCAGTGCTCACGGCAGAAGGCCCTGGCGGGACACAACGGCTCCCCAGGATGCCTCCCGCCCGCCTGGCAGCGCTGGCCCTGCTCAGTGGACTGGCGGAGCCGAGGACAGTGGGGCAATAACGAGCAGCCGGGGCTGGAGGGCAGCCGCGGGGCCTCCTGGCCGGGCAGGGATCCCCGGGCAGCGGCGGGCATCCTCCAGCCCGGGGCATCTCGGTGCGGCGGCAGAGTCGGGCTCCTAGAGAGCACGAGGCAGGGACACTCACAGCTGGACGCTGGACAGCGGCAGGAGGGGTTCTGGGCACTGGCTGGTCAGCGCAGCGCCCGGAGGCGGCCCCCGTCTCAGTTCAGACAGCCTCCTGCCCAGGGAAGGCGCTGGGGACTGGCCACACAAGAGCCTTGCTTGTCCCCGCCCCGTGGGAGAGGGGCAGAGCCTGGTCTTCCCGCTTTGCAAGGAAGCAGGGAGGAAAGGAGGCCATGGGGGGGGGGGGCTGCAGTCACCCTGGAAAGCGGGGAGCAGGGCTTCCGGCCAGGACCCGGCTGCCCGTCCCTGAGGGCCTACATGTCTTTTATCAGTCCCAGAAGCTTCCCTGAATATTGAAGGAAATAAAATTTGTGCTGCAAGTCTACAGAGCCGTGGGGGATTCACCCTGGCAATTCTCTATGTTTGGGACAAAGTCACAGAGATTGTAGGGGGAAATTGTAGGCATTCGTCTTCAAATGCAGCACAGCCCCTGGCTCTTAAAACGGGCCAGGGAGGCCTTCCGAGTTCTCGGGCCCAGAGGCAGCCGGAGAGGCCCTGGACATCTGCAGAAGGGTGGGGAACAACCGGCAGCCACTGTGGGCGGAGGACCTGTGTGCACCTGGGGTGCTGCGGAGCCCATTCCCTGCATTGCTGTGCTGCTTTTTTTATAGAGGACAAATGGAGGCTCAGAGAGGCAAATTATTTTAACTGGAGCCACACAGCTTAGGGTGACTGGAGCCAGTGTTTGAGTAAAAACCTGACTCCAAAGTGCTTGCTGTACCTGGGTTCAAAAGGCACAGACCACAAAACTGAGGGTGTTTTCTCTTCCGATAATGAACAAGTTCCTTGGCAATTGAAAAATTTCCCCCCACAATTTCTGTGACTTTCCCCCAAACACAGAGAATTTCCAGGGTGAATCTCCCACGGCTCTGTAGCCTTGCAGCAAAAATTTTATTTCCTTCAATATTCAGGGAAGCTTCTGGGACCTATAAAAGACATGTAGGTGCCAGGCGCGGTGGCACACGCCTGTAATCCCAGCGGCTCAGGAGGTTGAGGCAGGAGGATCTTGAGTTCAAAGCCAGCCTCAACAAAAGCGAAATGCTAAGCAACTCAGTGAGACCCTGTCTCTAAATAAATACAAAATAGGGCTGGGGAGGTGGCTCAGTGGTCGAGTGCCCCTGAGTTCAATCCCTGGTTACCACCCCCCAAAACAAAGAACTGCAGGGAACATCTTTACCACTGCGGACTGGGAAAACTTCAGATGACCCTGATGGGGGTTCAGTGTGGGGTGGGGACTGGGTTGGTGGGATGAGGTTCGGGAATGCTGTGGCCGACACCCACAGAGCTGGGCCTCTTTGGCGGTGGAAAGAGAACAAGAAATGAGGGGCTGTATCATTAGCTAGGCCAGCCCTGAAACTCTAATGGGGCGGGGGTCAGAGTGCACTTTCTGTTGCTATCACAGAACACCTGAGGCGGAGTCATTTATAAAGAAAATAAATCTGTTCCTTACGGTGCTGGGCTTGGCTTCTGTAAGCACTTTTGCTGCCTTGTCCTACGGGGGGACGGTGGAGGTGGGGTGGGCACAGCCAGGGAGAAAGCATTCCCCAGGTGAGGACATCACCCCAGGGAAGACAGCATCAACTGCGCTCCCCGTGCCCAGTGCCGTCCACCAGCTGACCTCCCAGCTCTGCCGCGCTGAGCACTGAGGTCCCAGCCCATGAACTGAGCCCTCAAACCACCGCCTGGGGCTCCCAGAAAGTCGGGCTGGCACAGGTGGCTTAGCCCCTGGAGCCAGAGGAGGCAGCGCCCCACTCCCAGGCCAATCAGAAAGCGCAGGGCCACACCCTGGCGACAGCCACAGGGCACCCGAGACCGAAGAGAGCGTGTCCTGAGGGCATGAGGACCAGGAAGGCAAAGCCAGGGCCCGGCCTCTCTCTGTGGCAAGAGTAGGCCCTGGCTCAGCTCAAACCTGGGCTCGGGGAGAAGCCGGAGCCTGAAGGCCGCAGGGTCCTGCCCTCTAATGAGCCGCCGGAAGGATGTCCCCAAATCTCACCACCAAGGCACTCCAGTGGGGAAGGGGACAGGGACAGCTCCCTCGAGCTACCTGCTCCCTTGAGACGCAAGCCCCACCGCCCTCCTCTTTCCTTCTCCAGCTGCAAGGCCTACCTCTGCATGAGGACCAGCAAGCACAGTCCAGGTGGCCCATGGTGAGCGCCCGGGTGGGGGGAGTGGGGGGGGGGGCTGCGCTGCGAGTCCCCCCTCCCTGATTTAAAAGGCCACGCGCAGAGTAAGGACCATAAATCTGTGTCAAAATAGATGACCCAACAGTCACAGCACGAGATAGGGGAAGGGACAGGACTGCCCACAACTGAGATCACAGTTGTTATGAATCAGGCCCCACTGGTGACAAATTGTTAATTCCAGCCCTTGGGGCAACTACCAAGAAAACACTTTTAAAAATATAGAGTGCAAACCCAAGGAGAAAATTAAAATGGTGCACCAGAGAGTTCTGGACACACAGGAAGGGAGGAACAGGGGAAAAAGGAACAAGAAGACATCAGAACACAGAGAACAGACAGGACTACACAGATGTGACCCCAGCTCCTCAGTGACCACGGAAAGGTCAGTGGATTAAATGCTCCGATCAAAAAGGTGCAGTGGGCCTGCGGCTCGGCCGGTACTCCAGGTACTCAGGAAGCTAAGTCGGGAGGATCCCTGGAGCCCAGGCAGGCGTTCAAGACCAGCCGGAGCAACAGAGCGAGGCCTGCCCAAGAGAAAAAGAAAAGAAATGAGGGAGAAGCTAGCCTAAGTATATGCTGTCTGTAAGAGACACGCTAGATTAAGAGACAGAAATAGGTTGGAAAAAAAAAAGATATAACAGCCAATCAGTAACTAAAAAGAGCTGGAGGGTCTATCTAGAATCATACTTCAGCACAAAAATTGTTTCAAGTGACAAAGAAGGACATTTTAGGTTGATGGAATGGGTCAGTTCATGAAGAAAGCATACGCACCTAACAACAGAGCCCCAAAACATATAAAGCAAAAACAGAAAACTAAAGGAGGAATCAACACGCTAACAATAGTAGTTCCCTTCAGCCTCCCTCTCTCCATAATAAATGCAACAACTAAGAAGGTGATCCACAAAGAAACAGAAGACTGGGGAAACACTGAAAACCAGCAGACCCAGAGACACTTTCCCCACCCCACGCAACGCAGAAGCCACTGCTGGGCTTCCCAAGTCCCCTACACGTGATAGCCTGCACCTGGGGACACTGCACAGGGTCTGGAGACAGCCACCAGCCACAACACTGCACGCCACAGAGCTGCATCTCTGAACACGCCACCCACCGCTACCGTCTGGCCTCACGCAACCCAACACCCCATTTCTGAAAGCAGCCACCTCCATCTTGGGACACCTTTGTCATCATCTTAGTCTGGGCAACTCCCAGCTTGGAACACCACCTGGGACTTGGAAGCAATATCAAGTCCCCAACTGCCCCCTCTCTCCCGCAGCTGCTAACTGGCCCATGCTTGCCTGGCCCTGAACTGCCCAACACAGACAGCTCTCTGACAGGTACGCGGCCCCCAGAGCGCAGCCCACAAGACCTCCAGAGAGAGAGGTTCCCTCTGGGAAGTAGAAAGGGAGGGTGAGTGAGGTACAGCCTAGAGACTAGAGACCAGGAATTGTGAGGCCAGCAGGCGAGATAAGGAGGTAAGACCAGGTGTCCACGTCACATGAGCAGCCCCAAAGGGGATCCTCGGGGTGCAGTCCCCCATGGGGAAGGGCAAGTGCTATCTATACCCCACCTCCAGGAGCTCCGCCCCAAGACCAACCCTCCCACCTGATAACCCTCCCCATCCTGAGGGTGCAGATACCAGCCAACCACAGACAGCCCACCTACTGGACCAGAGGGAAGCAGGAAAGACACTGACCCCCAACAAAACACCCTCTATCTTCCTTGGAGATTTTCCCCTCTCCCATCTCCCACCCTCACATCCCCAACATTTGTGAAACCAGGTACTTTCCATGGATTAGGCTGCTGAGGCCTGGGACGTCTGAATAGTGTATCACAGTGGTGTGTATATTCGTTTATCTCCTATTTTTACACTTTCTATTTTTCCTAATTTTATGTTTGTTTGTTATACTCTGTTGTCTTCCCACT